ATTTCAACTTAAGCACTGAGGGTTTTTATATTTTCATCTAATAAAATTAATTCTGAAACATATTTGAGATTCGTGACAAATGCTGTTGAATTGAGAGTCGTGACTTTTCGAAAGTTGTTTTGTTTTCTAAGTGTAAGATTAAGATCTTTAAAGTTTTATTATTTTTGTGTGTTTTTTCAAGCATCTGCAATAGTTGAGTAGGCTTGTGTACTAGTGTTTCAAAATTCAGACTGCTAATGGTTGAATCGTTTCATTTAGTTATTTTTTTTTTGCTTTCCTTGTGTTAGAGTAATCAATTTGTGAAAACACTTGGATGAGCCTTTTCAATTTCAGTTTTTTTACTGGAAATAATTTTCGTGGTGCACTATCTAGGGTGGTTTATTTGGAGCTGTTCAACGAATTGTCCATTTTTTATGGCTCTGTTGCTACAATATTTAAGTTTAGTGCGACAGCGCTTAAAAACTTTATAATGAGCGCTCAGGGTCAGCTTCTGTAAACTTTTTCAAAGTTACTTTTCGCGTTATTGATGTTTCTCCCAATAAAAATGAGCTTCTAGTCATCTGTCATAGACAATAGTGTTAAATTTGGTTTCGTATTTTGTGGTTTTTGTTCAAGTGTATATTTTTCAATGACAATGATACTTCAATTTTCATGAATTCTACTTGGTATTGGTTGTTTTTGTATTAAAACTTTCGTTTTACTTTTTCACATTTTCTGATGGTTTCATTCTGTTGGTTTTGATGCGTATATTATTCAGGTAAGGTAATAATTATTCCTATTCAGGTAAGGCAATTATTAGGTAGAACTCTTGCAGTTCTCTTTTGTTAGTTTCCTGTACTTGAAAACTATTCAGTTGGTTTTTGTATGGGGTTAAAACAAAAATTGTTGGAACCAAAATTTAGTTCTTAGCTCATAGAGTATTATCAGATTGAATCTTTTTTTTAGATATCTAACTTCGCCTGGATGTGTTCGTGGAACGTTTTAATCTGGTACTGAAGCTTCAATTGCTCTTTTTTCCTAGGTTTCAAAAGCAATCATTAAGAGGTGGGATATGTAATGAGCTGGAGATCATTTGTAATCTGTTCTATCTCAAATTGGTATAACTGTGAACAATCAGATTTCACAGTAAAATTATTTGACATCAGTTATTAGTTAAATTTGGTTAGTATTGCATCCAATCATATTCAATGTGAGAGAAAAACAACGCGAGTAGCAATAAAAGGTAAATTTCTAAACGGGTCGCAAAAACCAAGAAACCAAAACTAAAAATTGTTCAATTTCTGTTGTGTTGAACGAAATTCCTATACTTTGGTAGCTTCAATTTATTCAGTCATTTTTTTTTGAATTCAACGTTATTGACATGTAATTTATACCATTTGAGTAATTTATACTACATAGTTTTTCCGATTTTTCAAAAATTTTCGCACCTATGATTGTTTTTTTTGTAAAATTAGAAAGGATTGACTTGGGAACTACTTTGACCATTCTAATTCAAAATGTGATCAGGAGCGAATACAATTGTTTGTCCTGTATGAAGCGTACTCGCAAATACCTCATTAAAAACAGAATCGATGGCGGCAAGAAATTTGGTCTTAAAACGTTAGGATAAGATAAATAATGTTTTCCCATAGAATATTGGAAGTAGAGTTACAGAAAAAAAAAACATAGTTAAATCCAAATTTTTTTTGGATGTTTCGAGGCATAAACTAATTTTTAGCATTACGGGCTAGTCGAAAGCTTTGTGGGTTTGCTCTGATGAACAAGCAGTCATCTTAATTACTACTATTGATTGTAATTGCTTAATTATCCGAAAGTTTTTTGTGATGCATGTGAGGAATTCTTTTTGCAAAATAAAGCAAAGTTTTAAGTAGTTGGAGTTAAAAAGTGTTTTTTTTTTGTATATCACGGAAAAGTGAATCAAATTAGATTTTTTCTCCAAATTAGATTTTTTAATAAGCATTTCTATCAAAATTCATCAACTGAAATTTTCATTTTTTATCTTTTGATCAGCTTGAGTCATTTTTGGATTTTTCTTAAGGGCATTTTGAAATAGACTGAGGAATTTTAATTTTTTAATTCAAACTTGGATAATTAACGCGCGCTTTACACAGTCATTTTAAAGCGCACTCGGCAAAAATTTCATGCAAAACTGGACCGTGACCAACAATTTGGCCTGAAAATGTTAGAATAAGCAAATGAAATTTTTGTTTTACATAGAATATGGAGCGTAGTGGTATTAGAGGAAAAAACAGCAAAAAGATTATCGTTCTCTCCGGTTGATTTTTGGCGTAGAAAAACATGAACTTTTTTTTCAGCCTTATGTGTTAGTCGGAAACTTCATCGTTTGTCCCTGATAAACCAGCACAAACAACCTTGTTAGTTTTCCTTTTGATGCACACAACTGCTAAATCTGCCGAAAAAATTTAGTGACTCTCGTTAGGATTTCTTATTAAACAAAAAAACTGGTTTTTTGAGCACAAATTTTGGTAATTGATATTTAAAAACTGTTTTCATTTTTGAGTCAATTTTTGATTTTTCCTGAAAAATTTCTCAAATAGATTATTCATTTTTTCAAATTGGGATAATTAACGCGCAATGTTTTTAATTTTATTATAGCGTACTCGGTGAAAAACCCTAACAAATTTTAATCGAGACCAGCAATTTGGTCTTAAAACCTTAGGATACGCTAAATTAATCCTTTTTTATTTAACTTTGCGTTTGGGGGCATGGGGTTATAAATGTTTTGGTGTATGTCACGGAAAGTTCACAAAAGCAAGAACAAATTTTTTTTTCAATATTGATTTTTCAATCAACATCTCTAATAAGTTATTCATTTAGCTGAAATTTTTAGTTTCCTTTTAGCTTCAGTCAGTTTTTGATCCTTTCTAAGGTCATGCTGAAAACTTTTGAAATATCTTCATTTTTCTTGCAATCTGTTCTAGCTCAGAGAAAATCACAAAAAACTTCATGAAGTTTCTGCGACTCATGGTTCATTGTTTTTCAGGTTTTTGTCGGTTTACTATTCTTAGATATCGGAAACTTATTAAATATGGCTGAAAGTTACCATCAAACGGCGAAAGATTTTATCGATTCAACTTTGTGTTTCTTCAATAAAAAATTAGCCACAGAAGAGTCCGTTGGTGAGATAATTATATCAATTCGAGGTCGTCAAAACGTTTTTGAAACTGCCCTCTGTCCTAATTGACAGCTTACCTTACAGTCAAATTCTAAAACAAGTAGCAATGGCAGAAATAGCAAAACTTGGAACAGACAAAAAGGGGACTATTTGGAAATTGAAACTAATTCAAAGGAGTAATTTGCGGTTTATGAATTCTTTCGCTGTCAAAACTGATTTTAGGTGACCTTGAAGCATATTTGTCTAAAAATGAAGCAAAAAGTTTCTGAAAAGGTCAATTTTCTCCTTGATCATTTTTGCACCGCTCGATATCATACACCACTCTGAATCTCATACAATCCTTTTTCAAAAAAGTTTGATATTGAGAAAACGAGTATTCGAAATTTGTATTCGATTAATTAAACAAAAGTTAGAAGCGAGAGGTGTCTATTGAACATTTATGAACAATTTTGATAAACACCAAAACACCATACTCTACTAAAAGCTATATTACTTTTCTTGGAAATTAATGAAATCAATTTTTACATGAATTGTGTTTATAAAAAAAAATCCAATAATTGATAAAGGTTATGAAGATTGAGTGCAGTCAAAAATTAGACAGTCAAATTGTAGACAAAATCACGAGCCAATCAGGATCTTAAAGTAAAAATTTCCCTCGTTTTTTTCTTATTTCGACCGTGATTGGCTCAAGACTTTCTATAAATGTTGACGTCTTTTTTATTACGTATCCAGGGAAAATATATTCCTGTTTTATGTGCAGTAACTTCTCTTCTGAATTATAATCGAGGCGTGGCAATAGCCGAACATTCTTCAAGCATCAATCCTCTCATTGCATTATTCGTCTTCTTTGAGTGGTTTCCCCAAGAATATAATTTCAATCGTCTTCTGAGTCCTAACCATAAGATCAGATCTAAAAAAACGGAATAATTTTCGTCCCAGTAGTCTAGTGTCTGTGAAAAGATCAGGTCGAATAACAAGGAGACTGGTCTGAGCCAGAGAATGAACTTGATAGATAACTATGAGAGACAGTGAAACGATGCATGTTCAAGGCACCAAAAAATTATTAGCCAAAAACACAACCTCAATTCTTGATACAGCAGCTGGTCGTATTTTCGTTCAATTTGAGGGCAAGCAAGTTGTGAAACAGTTAATCGTTTTACCGTCAAAATTTAATTTAGTTTTTTTTTAGCTCGCTATAAAGCTCAGTGTCGAGATCAAGCCCGTCTCTTTGTCATTCACCAAGATGAGATCTGGTTTTAATTCATGGATCAAAACAACAAACTTGTTTTTTGAGCAAAGCGCGCCACAACATCGAATAAAACTTGAGGAGAAAAAAAACGAAGAACATCTAAATTTGTTTCATTGATAAGGTTGGGTTCTTTTAGACCGTGCAGGTAACTAAATTACTAAAGTTTCTATTTTTTTGCAATTAATAAAGTTTTATACTGGCTTTTATTTGCAACCACTTTTTCAGCTACGCAAATTTTGTTTACATTTTTGGGTTTTCATTCAATTATCTTTGAAAGCTTCCCGGGTTGATAACACAGAGATTATCGGCACTGTACAAGTAAAACAACAGTTGTTACACAAAATTCAGCCCTGTATCATAGTAAAATCATTTTTTTTTTTCATCTGACCAAGTCATTGAACAGGAAAAAACTTACCAGCTCTGTTATAGAACCGTAACATTTTTGTTAGTTAAGTTTAATTTTGCATTTGTTCTGAAATAGAACTGGAAAAGTCCTAACGAAACTTTCTTTCGAATATAATGTTTTTTTACGCATCGTTATAGAAGAGAGCAAACCATTAAAAAAGCTTCAAGTGTAAACCCTGTTAAATAAACAACGTAAAAGAGCATTTCATTGCAAAAAAAAGAAATTGGTTGGAGATGGTAGTTTAAAAAGCTTGGCAAACTAAACTTGCCTGGAAAGACGGCATTTTTTTGGTTCAAAAATGTTGTTTTTTTGAAAAAAAAATTACTGCGTTCCCCACTGCTAAAATCAGCTGAAAACAAGGAAAAATTGCATTTTTAAGCGAAAAAATAGAAATGTGTTAGCGTTGGTAGTTAAAAGGCTTGAGCAACCAAAGTTTCTTTGAAACTTGCCAACTTTTGATAAAAATATGGAAAAAAATTAAAAAAATTGTTACATCGCCCCACCAGCAAAAAAAATTTAAGCTCAAAATTTATTAAAACTTCATTGCTGCCGAAATATATTCGGTTGATAGTTTTTCTTTAATTTGATTTCTGATTGGTATTCAAACAATAAATCATGAAGTATTGAATTGAAAACAACCCGCACTGTAAGTTCATTGAAACTATTAAGTTATTTAGAATCTTTATTGTATGTCTCGCAAAAATTCGAAAACAATCGTTTTTGGTGAAGAAAAAAGGTTTGCGAGGCTATTTTTTGAAGTAAAACTAAGTCGATTATCGAAAAGTGTTTTTCCACAATTCTAAATGTTCTGATTTCTTTTGTGCGTTTTTTTAATTGTTCAAAATCCTTTCAAACTTTAAAAGGTATTTTGTTGTTCTATTCAATTTCACGTTGTTAAAATTTGTTCGAAATTTCAAAACAATTGAGTTTTTTGTGACATTGGTTTTATTCGCCGAGCCTTCATTTAACCCCAACTCACCCCCCCCCCCCCCCATGGTTACGCCCCACCCCGCATTGTTACGCTGTACCCCTATGGTTACGCCCTAACCCGTTTTGTATTCACTCTTCCACGTTTACCCTTTCCCTCTCTCCGTGTTGTGAAGGGGCGGTGGAAGGAGTAAATAGGAATGAACGTTAGTGGAAAGGGTATAAGATCGAAAGGTTTAGTTGGTGGGAAACGAGCAGTTATCACGGCGGGAGGGAACATGTTCGCTCGGGTTCGAGTTTCGCAATTCACACCACAACTATGCATATCTACAAAACGTTTTTAACTTCAAATTTTTCTGAACTAAAAAGAGTGATAAATGTACAAATGACACAAAAACTCCTTGTGAAAAATGTTAATGCATTGATCAAAGACATTGACCAATGCTTTATATTGAAATCTATCATGATAATTTATATTGAAATTGTGCTTTATATTGAGATCTATCATGATAATTTAACCCTGAGTTAGCAAAGGAAACAGAATACACATTGTTTAGTTACTCCGAAAACCAATACTTTTAATAAACTTGCAATAATATTGAGCAGAAATTGATTCTATCTAGTGCAACAAATAGTTCCTTTTTGTTACAAGTAGCTCACAACTCATTTTTGACTGTTGAACTTCTATATCCAAAACAATTATATTTTAAAGGGCAACTGCATGCAGTACTTGTTTTTCATGATAACAGTAGCAAGCGTAAAAAAGAGAATTTAGCCTACCTCAACCGTTTTGAACCTCTTTAACCTCGAAGTCGAAAAGCGCAACCGAAAAAATATCTGTAAAAATTTCTGAGCAAACAGGAATACCCTAAAAATTTAACAGAAAAAAAAAGAAGCAACCGCCGTACATGATGAACATGAAATAACAGAACATATTTACGGAAAACAGGCAAAAGCATTTTGAACGACAGCTGCAAGTATTGGAAGAGAAAGTTTATCAGGGCAGAAAGCATACATGATGTTCTGAAAAATTCAGAAACTGTAACATAATTGTGACAATGAGATATTACACGACAAAGAACCAACAGGACTTAAAGCCGCAGTGTTTATATTTAATAAACATCAAAGAAAAAAAACGTTTGCAACCCGGCGTTTACTAATTTTCTCGTTGCTCTCAATGTAAAAAGTTGCTGATAAAAAATTGCCAGTTACGAGGTTTAGACAGCGTAATCTAACGCGTAAGAAAGAGTGCGAGTTAGTTTCCGAAGAATAAATTACTTTGAGTGAGCTGAAAAGTGAGCTATCTAGTCATGACTGATGATGAAAACGGGCTGACTTCAAATCATTCTTGATTGATACAATTGGAGAGAAAATTTTGTCTTTATTTCATCAAAGTATCAAAGCAAAAATTTTCCGTTTTAGCAACAAAATAAATGATTACTTGCCACCTGATTCTAGTTGAGTCTAATTGGTATTTGTACGGGTAATTTTTTTTCGTCTGGTATGAATTTTTAGCATGTTGAAGAAGTTTTGGAAAGTGAACTTTGAGAAATCAAAAACATTGAGTTAGACTAATTTATTCAGAAAAAAAAATCAATTTCTTTTGATCTTAAATTAACCCAGAACTGACAAATTTCTCAGTATGATTTCTTAATCATTTGTTGGTTTTTAAAATTCTTCAAACCTATGGTGACTTGACTGGTTTTGATAGTTCCTGTACCAACAAATGAATGCTTCCAAAATTTTAACGATGAACTCTATTTTGCACGATGCGGCCGGAAACCTCTACTAAGTTCAAACACAGGGTCCCACGTAGTGTAATATGTTGGCCTGGAACTGTAAAATGAGCTTGTTGGGACGTTTTTACTGGAATATCCTTCTGTTTTTTCTCTAAGCTGGAAAAATAGAAAACTAGCAATTAAAAGAAAGCTAACAGAGATCAGTTTCACTTGAAAAGAAAAGGTTCCTCTACAAGTAAAACGCCTTGGTTTTGAAAAAAAAAATAGTCAATTCTTCAGACTGTAGCAAGAGTTTCTGTTTGTCAACTCCATTGAGTTTCAAAAAAAATATTGCAACAGTTAGAACAAATAACTTACAACCGGTAAACAAACTTTTCACGTGGCCTGCCTTGAGATCACTATTATAATCATTACAAAATTTGAATAGAGCGCTTCAAATCTTTTAATTAGGAAATTCACCACCATTTTTTACGCTAAACGAAAAGAAAAGAAAGAGTTTTGGCTGAAAAATTTGACCAAAAAATAAAAACCTAGTTGAATTAGGTCCTTCGCCCTCTCAATAATTCTTTATATTTCAACATTTCTCGAATTTTCAAAAGAAATTTACCTCACTATAACTCAAGGAACCTTTGAGCCCTGAAAAATAGCAAAGTTTTGAACGGTTGGTTGAAAAAGAAAAACAGCAAGAGGTCGGCAAAAAAGGAGAGATGCATATCACCAAGTAATCGCTTTGAACGTGGCATGACACCAAAAAATAAAGAGTGAAAAAACAGTTAACAAGAAATGAACACTTTTTCGGATCCAAAGGAGGACCTAACTATGTTAATCGATAAAAAAAATTGGCTACGCTGACGCTGAAAGAAAGTTTTTTTCCAGTTGTTGATTAACGTTTATACCTACAGAGATTGAAATATATAGTAATTATTAGCCAGCAAGGCGGGAGTTTGTCTTACCGATCAAACCTTAGTACACAAATATCATACAGCAGTTCAAATGGTAGACAGCAGTGAATTGCCAGATGAGATGAAAAAGTTATGAAAGAAAAAACTGTGAAGAAATTAAATTGCAACAATTTTACAATTATATACGTTAAGAGAAAATGTACTAGTTCGAATCCCATTTAGATTTAAATTTTTTGAGTAGTCAATTGCCAAAATACTGTGATAAAGACGTGCAACAAAAATTGTAGAAAAAAAACAAAAGACATTGGAAAAAAGCAAAAGAAGATGAACTTGATGCAATAGTAAACGATTTTCTCCATAACAGACAACCAGTAAAAAAACCTTGATAATTTTGTAACAATGTTGTTTTGCCGATAATTGAGGTATTTGTGTTTGCCACGTTAGTTCTGCTTCTTATCCTACCAATAAAAAAAGTGATTGATCCGTCGACAAATGTTTTCATGTCGATAGTGGTTTTCTCGAGATCAGGGAAAACAGAGCTACAGTCAAAGTTTTGATGGGAAAAAATTTCTCCCTTAGGTTCGGGACTTTCATGATATTTTTAAGAATTCAGAAATTGTAAAATAAACTTTGACAATGTGATGATACACGACAAAGAACCAATTGGACCTAAAGCCGCGGTGTTTA